GAACGGATTTTTGCTTAAAAGCATAATCCAAATTAAACAAGAAAGAAGGAGAAGGAAGAAAGAAATGTACGAGTTAGGCGAGTGCCTTTATTTCCTTAAAACCTTATTTGCCACCTCCCAAAAGTGCTAGGAGCGTTGTGGCCTAGGTTTCCCAGGATAAAACGTACAACGGTTCGGCGTTATATATATATATATATATATATATATATATATATATATATATATATATATATATATATATATATAACGGATCCAAAGGTTATATATACATGTATATCTACGAAAAAGATATACCAATATATATCAACCAAAATTGAAACTAATAATCCTCAGATTATAAGTTCAATCCAACTAATATATCAAAAGAGGGAGAACGGATTTTTGCTTAAAAGCATAATCCAAATTAAACAAGAAAGAAGGAGAAGGAAGAAAGAAATGTACGAGTTAGGCGAGTGCCTTTCTTTCCTTAAAACCTTATTTGCCACCTCCCAAAAGTGCTAGGAGCGTTGTGGCCTAGGTTTCCCAGGATAAAACGTACAACGGTTCGGCGTTTGAGCACCCAAACGAATGAACCCGGCGAACAAGAGCACGGGCAAAACACAGTTTCAAGAATGGAATAGAAGCAGAAGTATTTTGAGGCTGGAAAAATTATTTTTCTTGTGTGTTGAAAATGCTATTGCTCAACTCCTTCTTATATTGGGAATGAGGAGTGAATAGCCTTTATTATGGCATTTAGAGGCATCCCTACAACTCTTGCAACAGCAACCATTAACATGGGTGTTAATTCAAAAATTAAAATTAGAAATAATTCAAAACCACTACTAAAGGGAGCTAACATTGTTTCATTCGGCGCACACGAGGTTAAGCTTGATCCAAGCCTTTTCAATCTCATGATTTACACCCCCCTGCGTGCGAGAGAGAGTCTCTATGATATACAATTCAATAAACTTAAAAAGAGCTCATGTATAAATAGTGGGGCAAATCCTCTTCCCAAACCAATGTGGGACAAAAGCTCACTTTTTCCCTTCATTTTCCAACTCAAATGGGTTACTTTGAGAATCAATATCTCATTCACCTATTATCCGTTTTGAGCGTACAATATATCAATCTCTTCGACTCACTACGAAAAACCCGAATTCACTTTGACCCGACCCAAATTGAAAATGGACCCCACTGATAATTATACCACAAAATAACCACTTAATATGTCATTTTATGCCATTTTAAACTATTTTTTCCAACATTTGATTGTAGGCCCTTCCTAATCCTCGATTCCTCGTATGGTTGATATACGAGATCAGAGGCACTAGACGTTGAAGCCATACCTACTAAGCGCTAAGCGATAAGGCTTCTTGAAACCTTGCTTAGCTTGCAGTTTAAGTAATAAAGAATGGTTTCGACTTTCGATGCAGTATATTAAAGGTTGTGAATCTTTACTTTGAAACAATAGAGGTCGTATTTGGAAAAAAAAAAAAGATAAAAGTTTGAAATTTGACAGTAGTAATGTGAAATTATGTTCAAAGTGGGTAAATTCGTTATATTCTTGATGACTTTTTGTATGTATCAATATTTGATCATGTCTCCTGAGCTACTGATGTGATTTATATCCTTTCATATGCTGTTAGGATCAGAATATGGGGCACTTGAAGTTGGAAGTTCAACATTAATTTTGAGAGAAAAACAATATTGGATTTTCTTGAATCTTATACTGTTGAATAAATGAATAGTAAATCTTTGGCAATTGGCAAATTATACCATATACCAGGATCTACCTTGAATTATAACATATAAGAGATTATGTATATGTATATAAACTAAATGTACACATTACGTTAAGAACAATATAGGATTTTATTGAATCTTTGCTGTTGAATAGTAAAGTTTGTGCAAATTATACCGAGTTTTACTATATGTACTCCCAAATCTTATTCCCTCAAATTTACTCTATGATGTGGCGGGCTCTGATAGGTTATTTTTTTCATGTGGTCACCTGTAAAAGTGTCTACATAATTATTTTAAGTGTGAGAGTAAAAGTTGGAAGTAGAGAAAGTGAGTACATGTAGTATTTTCCAATTATACTATGTATTAGGGCCCACCTTGCATTGTAAACCCGGTTAATATATTATTTATATGTATATAAACTAATGGGATGTTTGGTTGGAGGGAATTACAATTCCATTCTCACTTATTTCCCACATAATTACGAAGGCAAGCAAATCATTCGTTTGGTTGCGGAATTGAAATTCCCTCATTTTCATAAAATTTGAATCCCATGTTCTCAAAAATATATTTGATCACTCAAATTATATTGCTTTCCACAAACGTGAACAAAATGAACACTTCTATTTAATCATAAAGTGTTGTTGAATTTTCAAGAAAAAAAAAAGTGTTTTTGTAAAGCTTTCTTCACTCATTATCCATTTTGGGTGTATAATATATCAAAATAAACATTTCAAGAACTTGAATCCACTTTACCCAACTTAAATTAGAAATTTACCCCACCGATAATTATAGCACCACTTTAAATGTCATAGCTAATTTTTTCAAAGTTTTACATATATGTACTCCAAATTTTTGTTCTTTCACATTTACTTTATGATGTGGCAGACATTGATAAGCCCAATCAAATAATGAAATTTTGATTGGTGTGGAATTACAATTCATATGTATCAAACGCCCATAAAAGTTGAAAGTATATACTACAAGTTAGAGTTTTTTCAGATGCATGGCAGGCCACATGCTTCTCTGTCCAGTTTCTGCAAGTTTAGAATATAATTCCAAAGGCAGCAGGCCGGGATCTACGTACTGCCCCTTGCTTTGGATTCTTGAAACCTTCCATGCATGCTATACCATACAAATTAAACCCTATTTGGGGACCTAGCTAGTGCCCGGATAACTACATTGAGTAATTCCAATACTTATTGCGTGGACTGTGGTCCACACAATTGTATGGACCATGGTCTAAAACGATGTGGTTTTACGTAATTTTTTTTTCTTTACGCGACCCACTGCAACATATATTTTTATAATCTATATGTACATTATTTTAAAGCATAATGTACAGTATTCTAAAACATAATAATGTATATTATTTTAACTCATAAAATTTGTAAGTGTAAAATTTAATACACATTAAAACCCTATATGTTGGCTAATTTATTTGGACAAAATAATTAGAATTTATTTTGTAATATGACATATGGACCAACTTCTATCAAAGGTGTTATGTGTCTACAGCTAAAGTCAAGGGAAGAAATTCTATGGTAGTAAGGAGCTGATCTTTTATTAAGTGTGGATTAATTATTATGGTGGAGATTTATTCAAATGAGGTGGTGATGAATTAATTGCGTTGGAAGGAATTATCTATAAAAGGAAACACTTTCCACCTTGAGATTTACGAATTTTTATATTACTATTTTGATAAGAAAAGTGCTCACGTATTATTACATTGCAATCTGCTTGCTATTACTCTGATTGAATGTGGGTTTTCTCGCTGGAATAATTGAATTGTACCTGAGTCAGATGCAACAACTCTTGACGATGATTTCGGCATGCACGTACCAGTCCTGAGTGGATGTTAGGAAGGTTGTAGTGGTAGTAGTGACTGATCGCCTTATGTACTTATCTCTTGTAAAACACCACGGTGAACATCTAGTGAATTGGGCAGATGTGAGTTGTTCCGCAGACGTAGGAAAAGTGCTTCGAATTACGTGATCAATTCCGGTGTACTTGATTTATTTTTTATGCCTTTTATTTCGTTATTTATTTTCGTTAAAAAACTTAATTAATTGGTCCGGTAATATCTATACTAAAATCAAGTAGAAGTTTAAGATATATCTTGCATTCAAGATTCACGGCACTTTTTCAATTGGTATCAGAGCTCAGACACTTAAATTTCAACAATATAACATAGGATTTTATTGAATCTTAATTGTTGAATAATAAAGTTTGGGCAAATTATACCATGTATCAGGCCCATCTTGCATTGTAAATCCGGTTAATAGATTATGTATATGTATATAAATTAAATGTACATAATATGTTAATTGTAATATGTACATAATTTATTAATTGTAAGCAATATGTTAATTGTAATAGGTACATAATTTATTAACTTAAGATATATAATATGTTCACGAGATTACATAATATTATGGGTGTTAGCGAACAGAGTTTGGAATAAACAACTTGTGTTAGTATTCGGTAAGCATTCTTTTATTAAGTTTGATAAATATAAATGAACAAAATTTAGAACTCGTTAATAAAAAAAAAAAAAAAAAAAAAAAAAAGAGTTTGGCTATTTGTATGTTCATCTACTAAGAGCTTATGAAGGTGCGCGTTCGTTTATTAATGTTCATGAATGATGGATTATATGAATCCAGGGTCCGGGTTATACAACCCGAATATATGTGGAATGTGATAAACGAATAATAAAATGATAATAGGGGTGTCTATGTAAATGATATTGTATTAACCGAACGAATAATGCTATTACAGAGGTAATCAACGTGTAATAGTCAGACAATTGTTGTAGGAAAGTAGAAATACTTTGAATAGGACACCAGGGGTGTTTTTATACCCCGGCTGCTACAGGCCCAGGGTACGCGGGAGGAACCACGGCTCGCGCCGTGAGACTCGCTCCATGCGAGGACCCGGTCCTTGGTCGAGCACGGAGCTCGCCCAAGGGGCCGACCATGGGCTCGGCTGAGCCCATGGGGCCGAGGCTGAGCCCATGGAGGTCGGCTCGACGGCGAGCCGACCCCATGCCAGGCCGACCCCGAGGTTGTTGGCCGATCCCGGGGTGGTTCGCTACGCGTCGCGGGTAGTCTGCTAATGCCGGGTCCAACCTGTTCTATATTGCTTTGCACCAAACACGCTCTGTGAGTATTCCATCAATGAACATTCTTGTTTAGTGGTCGTTTAAATGTTCATGAATATGCTTGTTTAGTCACTTTAGTGTTTGTTTAAGACGATTCAACATGCTAGTGAAATTTATTTATTTTAAACATAACTTTCCAGGCAATTACAGATGGATGAGAGTTTGAATTGACATCACAGAGGCTATTCAATTCCAGTTCTTGATGAAGAACCAGAATCAGAAATTCTATCATCCAGTAATTTAACCAGCTAGCATATAATACAGATCAAATCAAATGAAACCAAGATATTCAGAGGTGACCGGCTTAAATACATGAGATGCATGAGCCTCTATCAACTCCACTTGCCATTTTTGCAGATGCATATAAACTATCCAATCTCCATTCCCTTTCGGATTCGGCATCGGCATAACGTAACCGGCTTCTCCTCCCCAGTGAAAATGGTACGATCCGAACGCCGGTTTCCCCCATCCAAAATCAATCTTTCTCACCGGAAACTGCTGCCCTGATGACACCACCACCGCCGGCCCCTCGCCGCCGCCGTATATTTTCGCCAAGGCCGGTTTGGGACGGTGGGCTTCCACCCAATCAATCAGTCCAAGAAAATGTTCCCTCGTCACAGCTTCCTCCAAGAACTCTCTCACCGCATTTGCCACCCAATTCAACGGCTTTTCCTGCAAATCTTCCATTTTTCTGTCGCCAAATGGGATCGAAAGAACGTTCCCGAAGTAACCCTTTAACAGTTCATCTCCGTCGCTCAATCTGGTCCTCCCGTCAACCACAACCCCCAGTTTGAAATTCTTGAAGCTGTAATCTTTACGGGACATTATTCCGGCGGCAATTGTTTTCCATAAGAAGGCCGAGAACGCTTGCAGCTTTGTAATCCTATGATTAATCTTTGCGCTGCCTTTCTGGGAATTGGCTAGTGATTGGATGCGGAGGATTTCTTCCGACTCTATATAGTATATGCGACTTATCACGCTTTGTTCATCAGTTTGGAGGGCTTCGGGCTCCGCCGCCGCTGCCGGCGGCGGCAGGGATGAGATTAGCGTATACATGGCGTCGACGGAAAGATCGTAGTGGGCGGGACGGCGAGGAAAGAGAAAGGACCTCCGGAAACAGGGGAGCTGAGACAACGGCTTGGCCTGAGCTACCTCGGACCATGATACGAGGAACATGTTGGCTGAGTAAGCATCCGCCACCCGGTGATCAAAGGAACAGCCCACCACCACTCCGCCGCATTTCAGTTCTGTAACCTGTTAATTTGTTCATACAACATAAGTGTCTACAATCTATCAATCCATTCGTTTCACTATAAAAAATCCTAATGACCAAATCGGAAAGTAAATCTCACATATAGTTGTATCACAAAATAATCACTTATAATATTATTTTTACTATTTTTTTTGAACATTTTTTACCCCACAAAATTCGTTGCTCCCGCTACTGATATGACTAAAGATTAAAAATAAAATTCGCGCGGCCGCCACCACCACAACCTCCTTCTTGCTCACTCTTATTCTAAACCCTCTTTTTAATTAAGTATAGAAACTATTTTATGGAACTCTCAACTTTTACCCCTCTTATAAATTCTTAATCTAGACCTTTTTTTAAAATTTACAAAATAAAAATATCCAATTTTTATTTATTATATCATGTAATAAAAGTGAATGAATAGAATTTGAGAGTACAATAACTTTTTTTTTTTTTTCAGTTTTAGCAACCATGCTTTTGCTTTTTTGTTTGGGTACGAGGAAATAGGAGAATACTAAAACAGTACAGAAAATTCCAAAAATCATTAAATATGCATTTTTAGAGCCTGTGAACTTTGGAGATTCAGAGATTCTAATTTGCATGGTTTAGAATTTTGAACTTTCCTAAAAAAAAAAAAGAAAAAAAAAAGAGTTTTGAACTTTGAAGTGTATTTTTTAAATATTATATTGTGCATGTATATTTAGATATTTAAAAGTTTTACTTTTTATCTATACTTTTTAGATTGTTAAATAATACAATATTGTCCATCTGTATGTATCTATGCGTATCATCAAAACAATTTGGTGTCATTAGAGCACAAGATTTTTACCAATATTTTATTTACTTAAAGTCTTAAACATTTTCAAAAAAAAAAAAAAGAAAAAGACATATCCCGGAAATTTAGGAGCATGTCATACACGTAGTGCAGGGTCAAGATTTCATCAATTATTTACCTCTCGCTCACCCATTCCACCTAACTAGTGACTAGTATAGTAGTATCTAATCCTTATGTGGTGCTCAATCATGTAGTGGAACGCCTAAAGAAGTAGTCTAGAAGTTGGTTATTAGTTATAGAAATATGGCCGATTCTTACTTTTGTGTGTATATATTGTTGGTGACTAAATCCGAGATAAATGAAATTAGGGATTTAAGTGTAATACACACTTTTTTGTAACACACTATTTTATGATTGTGTTAGAAGTGTTGTAACGTCAATCTTTTAAGTTAAAATAGATTTACCAAAATATATTTGATCACTCAAATTATATTGCTTTCCGCGAACGTGAGCAAACACTTCTATTTAATCATATGTGTTGCTGAATTTTTAAGAAAAAAAAATGTTGTTGTAAAGTTTTCATTCGTTTATTATCCATTTTGAGAGTATAATATATCAAATTAAACATTTCAAAAACTTGAATTCACTTTATCCCATCTAAATTAGAAGTGCAGCCTAACACCACTTCAAATGTCATAGCTTCTTTTTTTTTTTTTTTTTTTGAGAGTTCTATATTTACTCCCAATTCTTACTCCTTCACATTTACTTCATGATGTGGTGGACACTGATGAGCCATTTTTTCATGTGGTCTCCAATAAATGTGCCTGTATTAAGATTTTGTGTGTGAGAGTAACTAGGCATTTGGTTGAAAGGAATTGCAATTCCCTCCAACCAAACAATGAAATTTTGATTATTGTGGAATTGCGAAGGAATGGAATTGCAATTCATATGTATCAAACACCCATAATAGTGAAGGTTTGTTGTTGGTTTTTAGGAAGCCAAGTAGAAGAGAGAGAGAGAGAAAAAAAAAAAAAAAAGAGCAAATTACACTTTTGGTCCTGTGACTATAGAGGGTGTGTTAATTTGGGTACGTGACTTTTAAAACTAACAATTTAGTCCTTTAACTATCATTTTTTTAGCAGATTTGGTCCTCCCGGCCAAATTGCCGGTGGAATTTGGCCAGAAAGACGTTCGACTTTTTAAATCAAATATTGGTGGGGGTAATTCGGTCTTTTTAATTGTTGAACCGAATTACCCCCACCACTATTTGATTTAAAAATTCGAATGTCTTTCCGGCCAAATTCCACCGGTAATTTGGCCGAGAGGACCAAATCTGCTAAAAAAATGATAGTTAAAGGACTAAATTGTTAATTTTAAAAGTCACGTACCCAAATTAATACACCCCCTATAGTCACAGGACCAAAAGTGTAATTTGCTCAAAAAAAAAAAAAAAAAAAGAGAAGAGAAAAAGAAAAGAAAACAAAAAAGAGTGACAAATTTTTTTTAAAAAGGGTCTTGGGTACACTCTGAAGCGTCCCATTCATCCAACGGGCACGTAGGAAACACGTACCTACTGGGATGCACAATGTGCTCCAAGCGTTCTATTTTTAATGTTTTTTATTTCTTCTGCAAAAATCAAGGTCTTTGCAGGAGAAAAAAAAAACAAGGAAAAATATGTGATTCCTAATTGTAAAAAATCACTCCATCAGTTTTTAGCACGAGTCAAAAATCATTCTAAAACTTCTATTGGAGATACCCTTAAGAGCATCCTTAATAGCAGATCATGAGGAGTTCTTTCAAGGATTTTAAGGATGTGCATCCTTGGTGGAGGTGAGAGAGAAAAAATTGCTTCTGCAAAGATTGAGTTTATGGCAGAAAGTGAGTCCCATTGTAAGAATATATCAGCCCCGCGCGCGCTGCGTGCATGTGTGTGGCACAAAGTGCACGTGCCAGCCGGGCTCGTCAAGCATGCTGTCCAGTTTAAGTAATTATTGTATCCTGGATAACAAGGACGCCATGTTTGGTCGATGCTCTTGTCCTGGTTGTACAAGTTCACTTAGCTCTGACTCTACTTTCAGTTTAGAATATAATCCCAACGGCAGCAGGCCGGGATCCACTGCCCCTTGCTTTGGATTCTTGAAACCTTCCATGCATATATGCCATAGCATACAAACCCTATTTGGAGACCTGCTAGCTAGTGCCCGGATAACTACATTGACTAATTCCAATAGTTATTCATGAAACGTACAACTGTGTGGATCACTGTCAAAAAATGATATCGTTTCGAGTAATTTTTTTACACTGCGGTCCACTGCAACATCTATTTTTATAACTCATAATAAGTATATTATCTTATCTCAAAAATTTCACTATTCTAACACATAATATACGTTATTCTAACTCATAAAATTCAATGACGTCATTTTAGACAGTGGTAGGTTCACACAATAATTTGCCGAGTAATTCAAAGTTGTACAATCCAACTTTGTTTACTAGTCAAGTGGAGACAAATATGATAGTAACAAATTTATTTTTCGTTACAACCACTAATCTATTATATTCTAATCTTATTTGGTATTGCTAAATGCTAAATAGAAATGCATGCATTTATTACTAATACAACCGAAGTCAAAAAGATACTAAAAATTGTCCAATACCTTTCTATCATGCATTCATGTTTCTTATGTTTTGCCCACATGTTTCTTAAGTGTTTAATTATACCTTCTTTCCATCAACTAACTTAGTTTATGCTCATTTTGGGTACGTAATTAAAACCATCATGTATAATAAGACGTACGTACAAATCGTTTAATTTTATCATTTTGTCTAAATTTGGTTGAAATTTTTTATTATAATACTCATTTTTGGTTCATAAATTGTAGGGTATTTGACAATTAGTGGTTAGTAGATTATGTTAGCTTAGCAATTTTGACTAGTGAATTGTATTATCTATTTGTAAATAATTATTTGATAGAATATTATACGGAGTATTTACTATTAATAATTAACATGTAAAAAGACGTAAAAAAGATTATGTATACTTTATAATATAATTTATTAATTAAATAATAATTAATTATTATAATTAAATTATAATAAATAATACTCCGTAATAAACAACAAATAATGTTTATGATAATATTAAAAAAAAAAAAAAACAAAAAAGGCAAAAAAAATCATTTTTTGGAACAACACTTGACTTTATAAACATTGCTTACACGGACTAATTAGTTCATTGGTTTAGTAAATAGTATTTGGAAGAAAAGACCAAAGTTTAAACCTAGACACCGACCCACGTTATAAATTATGAATTTCTATGTTCTTGGTACATGTAGGGAGAATAGGCTCCCACTTTAGAGAGTACGAATTTGTATGTACATTTAGGCACCCACGTTAGAAAGTACGAATTTGTATGTATCTTGGCTCCCACTTTAGAGAGTACGAATTTGTATGTACATTTAGGCACCCACGTTAGAAAGTACGAATTTGTATGTATCTTGGCTCCCACTTTAGAGAGTACGAATTTGTATGTACATTTAGGGAGAATAGGCTCCCACCTTAGATAGTACGAATTTGTATGTATCTGGTTTGGGTTTTTTTTTTTTTTTTTTTGACTAGAAAATCTCCCACGTTAGAAATTATGAATTTCTATGTATCTTGGTATCTTTTTGGTTGTGACTAAAAACTGATGTATCTTGGTATTTTTTTGTTATGATTAAAAACCGGCCTGCAACAATTATATAATGATGGGCACAGAATAAACCATCCTCCGTACTAAATTCATGCTCCACTAGCTTGCCCAACCTTTCAGAGCATAGTATCTCATTTCTGGGACGAGAGAAATTACTTATCATCTTTTATCACGTCAGGGAGTAAAACAAAACCCCTAAAGATTGAAAATTGATGTGGTAGAATTCTATTAGAAACCTCAGATTCTAACATATATACCAACATATATACACTACATAAATATTTTTGTGAATTAACGTTTGTTATTTGTTGTAAACGCAGGTGCCACATGCATTATATTCCTCAACTTTGTGTAAGTAAATACTTTATGATTCTAACCTGGACGGCAAGAACGCCGCCGTGTTTCTTGCCGGGAACGAGCTTCCCTTCGACACTCTCGTCCGGGTTGTACAGGTTCAGTTCACTGAGCTCCACATCCGCCACCGCTTCGGCGAACTCCACCCCGCGGTTGTTGCAGAGAACCTCAGGCTCGCCGCCGGCGTTCTGCACCACTTCGCCGGCGAGGGAATAGTAGGAGACCAAGGCCTCCGCCAGCGCCGCTTTGAGAACGCCGGAGATGGAACCAAAAAACGTGAATTTGGGCGTAGGCTTTTGGTAACAGAAGAATACGCCGAAGGTGAGCGGCGGCAGCAGCAAGTCGAGGTTGGACTGCGGCAGCCAATGGTGTTGCATTGGCAGCGCCGCCGCCACCGCCTCCTTCTTCGTCACTCTTACATTGAACTCTCCCTTAGCAATCATGCTTTCTCTCTCTAAGCTACGCGTGTAGTGGGAAGGAGATTGAGTGATGAGTTAATGTTCACAAAGGAAGAGTATGCATATATAATATGGATTATACACAGTGAAAATATTTATAAATAATATAATTTATAATTATAAATCATAATCATGTAACTTAATTAACAATGGACATTATATTATATTATTACAAGTAGTTTCCTTGATATCTATCATTTCTTGTACCGTGTACCTCATATATATTGGGATATATGTAATAGTTATCTGATCTGCATTTTTTTTTTTTTTTTTGGGTACATAGTGTTGAAATTTTTTAGCAAAAATAGTATTTAAGTGATTATTTTATGGTATAAACCACAAATTAATGTGATATTTACTTCTGATTTGAGTCGGGTTAACATGGATTCGAGTTCATCGAAGTGAGACAAAGAAATTGATCTGATATATTATATATACACTCAAAACAGATAATAGGTGAATGAGAAATTTATTCTCAAAGTAAACCCTAAGTTGAAAAATAGATATGGGAAGGCTCGAAAGTAGCTTTTAATTTGTCTCACATTGATTTGAGGAGTTGGTTTGCACTAATATATATATACAATCAGTTTTAAAAAAGAAATTAAATTGTATATCATACAAACTCTTTTTCACATCTGAATGCCTCTATTGCCCATTTTAGTCGGAGAATCATAAAGAAGATTTTTTTTATTTTTTATTTTATGAAAAAGTTCGCAACCACTTAAAATTATTAGTTAGACTTATTTTAAATTATAAATTATTATTATTCCTTAAGAGTGATCAACATGCACGGCTCATGCGAGTACGTACTACGTAGTGTACGTGAGTAGTATAGCTTTCAACATCCATGTATGTATAATGTCTCGTAGTTTCTTATCCATGAAACCAAACTGAATATCTATATATATATATATACAATTTTAATTTAAACAATCGTTTTCTCACCTATTACACAAACTAGCTAACAACTTTGTGATTTATTTGGTTGTCGTGTGAACATAAACATATATACAAGCTGGGGTGTTGGAGCGACAACACCTGTCTCCGGAGTTTGTTGGGTGGGGCGGGAGCGACAACACCTGTCTCCGGGGTTTGTTGGTTGGGACGGGAGTAATTTTATAAATGTAAGGTAAGTTAGGGTTATATAAAGATGATGATTGTAATTTTGAATGTACGATCATCTACTATTTTGATCTTGTGGATGTAGGTGCACTATTGGATTACATAAATTTTGTATTCTATACTATTTGAACTACATAAATCTTGTGTTCTTCTTAAGAAGGCCAATACAACTTTCGTTTCGATGGCAAAATGCTTGACTCGGCCCTCCAAGCTGCCACTCTGCAGTACTTGCATAGCAATTAGTATATTGCCCAACAGTTCTGCCCATCACAACTTTCGTTTCGATGACAGGATGCGTCAATCTTGTGTTCTTCTTTAAGCTATACCATTTCTATCTCTGTTCTTGATTTTTTCAGTTTGAATCAAACATTATTTCCTTATACTTGTGTAGCAGTTAACGCCACCCCACAATCCCCCATCACAACTTTCATTTTGATGGAAAAATGATATACTCGCCCACGGGCCCTATTCAAGATGCCGATCTACAATACATGCATAGCAGTTAGTGTTGCCCAATAATTTTACCTAGCACAACTTTCGTTTCGATGGTAAAATGTCGAACTCAACTCTCCAAGCCACTATCTAGCAGTACTTGTGTAATAGTTAGCACCACCCAACAATTCCCCTCTTGATTCCAACACGCCACCTGATACAAATTTTCAGAATCAAGCACTTTCCATTACTCCACAAACTATAACTATTAACGAATGCGCAAATTTATTTTTCTTATATATACTTATATAATAGTAGCGCTACGTTTTGATACCAGAATGTTTGACTCGACTCTTCGAACTGCAACCTAAAATTTTCATATGGTTTTCTCAACACAAACTTAGCAATGCGGTATGTCAATCATGAATCAAGCATTATTATTTAGCCAAGCTAGATAGATCGTGATTGATGATCTATCCTTGTTATTTATATAGAGATTGTTGAATGGATCAATGGTTTCTTTAAGAAGATGATCAAAAACTTATTGACGTCACCTGGCCGGCCTTATGGTTTTAGGTAAAAGAGTTGATGGAAGTTTGATTTGAATATATGATTTGCTGCAAAAATGTATAGTACGAGTAGTGTCAATGACGATTAAACAGTGACTAATTAAGCATGGTTATATTGATGCTTTAGTCTCACCTAAAACACTTGTTAATTAATTATTTAACGAGTAATTAAACATTTTAGTCACTAGAATCTTCATATATAGTAGCTAGTCTGTTTTATGAATGAATTATTTAAACTATACAATATTGCTATTTCCAAATATATATAAACTTCATTAGCCATTTACTAGCTTAATTACTGATAAAACGTCAAGGCTCCCATATCTACTCTCACCAATATCAGTGGGAATTCAATATTAGAGGACCGCAACCCAGTTGATCGAACAGTTGACTTGATAATTATGAAATTTTAAATTTAATTTTTTTATGAGTATTACTGACTAGACCACAAGGTCATTGGCAAGTAGTTTTTTAGACAAATAACTATAGATTTTTTCGTAAATCAAAAGTTGGAGTTAATTTTTTTTTCCACGTGGACAGTGTTTATGGATTGAGATAATATTTTAATTAGTTTTTGTATTTAAAAGTTTAATAATTGTGTTTGTAATATGTTAATCCACTGTAATACGTATGATTAAAATTTAATAATAATCAATTAATAATTGAAACAAACAATAAAAAAAGTCCACGAGTTGCTCATTTGGAGAGGAAATCTTTGGTTCAATGTATAAAGGTGGGCAAGTGTCCGTTTGAAAACGGATGACTTTCAAAAGTGGTTTTCAAATTTTTAAATATTTGGCTAACATTTTTTTTCAGTACTACGACTATGTTACAATGCAATATCTATTCATATTTGGCTATTAACATAAAATGAAGTAAATAATAAAAAAAAAAAAACTCATATTAAAAAGTTTTTCTCTCGCTAGGCTTCGCGAGTTCTCTCTAACCCTACCTCTTTAGGGTTCCGGTAGCGTTTTCCAACATGGCAGCGGATGACGGAGGCAGTATAGTAGGCCTATGTGCGAATCTAACACTTGCGGATGTAGATGATGAGGACACAGCTTTGCAGGTGCCGAATGTCCAGGTCGTGCGGGAAGCCCAGGGCGCAAGCTATTACGCGGTTGGAAGGTTGATCACAAATAAAAAGGTGAAGTTCTTGTTTTTCCAGGACACAATGGCGTCAGTTTGGCAGCCTGCAATGGGGGTAACTATGCGGCAATTACAGCCACAACGCTTCCTAATTCGGTTCTATCACGAGACGGATTTGGTAAGGGTTTTGCGGGATGGTCCTTGGACGTATGAGCAGAATTTGCTTGTGATGAAGAAGGTTAAACCTGAGGAGGATCCGGAAACTACGCCTCTGAACCATGCAGAGTTCTGGATACAGATACATGCTTTGCCGGCCGGTCTCCGGTCGAGTGCGGTGGTCTCTGCGATTGGCTCTTTTCTGGGCACGTTGATTACAACTGATGACAAGAATTTTGGGGGTTCTATGCGAACATATTACCGAGTTCGAGTAGCCATTGACATCACCAAGCCACTTAAAAAACAGATGAAGCTGAAGAAAGACAATGGAACGTGGGCGATTGTTGATTTCAGGTACGAGCGATTACCAACCTTTTGTTTTCTTTGTGGGGTGATCGGACATGGGGATAGGGTCTGTCCAAGGATAGCACATGGGGCAGACGTGAATGATGAGAAGCCATATAATGCGGGGCTGCGAGCAGGTGCACGACGGACTGCTCTTATGGCAGGCCAGCGCCTGGGTAGCGCCGGAGTTGGATGAGGACAGAAGGGGTTGGGTAGCTCCTGGAATGTTGGCAGAACAATTGGAACAAACTGTGGTGGACGGTCCAGACTTGGCAGCTTCTGATGCAAAACGGAAACGTGTTGAGGGGCATGGGCAGGAAGATGTGATCATAACTAATGCAATGGAAACTGAGAATACAGTGACAAAAAACGGCCGGGAGGCGGGTCTTGCGATGCAAGCCCGCCGAGGATTATCAGTCTAATGGCATGGAATTGCCGGGGGCTTGGCAACCAAACGGCAATTCAGGTATTGGCGGACTTAGTTCGCACGAAGCGGCCAAGGGTGATTTTTTTGATGGAGACGTTTGTGGATACTCAGAGGATGGAGGTTGTGCGGGTCCAATTGGGATATGATAATGTGTTCGTGGTAGATGCGGTTGGACATAGTGGGCGCTTGCAATGATGTGGTTGAGCTCGGTGGATCTCCAGGTAACGGGTTATTGTGATAATTATATTGATACTACTATATGTTTAGATGTTGGTAGCCTGGTGTGGCGTTATACGGGGTTTTATGGTTTTTCACAAAGAACAAGGAGACGGGAATCATGGCAATTATTGCGTCAGCTTGCAGGTTTGAGTACTATGCCCTGGGTTGTGATGGGAGATTATAACGATCTCATGAGCCAAGGAGAAAAATGGGGGCGGGCCCCACACCCCCCATGGCTGATTAATGGTTTCTGTGAAGCGGTTGCAGATTTTGGGTTACAGGATTTCCCGTTTGAGGGCTACCAGTTTACATGGAAAAGGCGCAGGGGAACGAGTAATATGGTGGAGGAGAAGTTGGACAGGATACTAGTCTCGGATAGTTGGTTGTCAATGTTTGAGGGGGTAACAGCTATGTCGATGGCTTGTCCGTACAGTGATCACATGCCGATACTACTTATACCAGTAGTTGTGGTTCAAACTACACGGTGTAGGAGGTTTCTATTTGACACTATGTGGCTGCGGGAGGAGAGGTGTAGAGAGATTGTGGCTCAGAGTTGAGGCCGTACTGCGGGTCTTGAAGTGTTGGAACGGATTGAGTCTTGCGGTAGGGATTTATGGCGCTGGGGGAGGTCCTACAATAAGGACTTTCAGCGGCGTATTGATTTATGCAGGCGGGATATGGAGATTTTGAGGCCACGGGATGATGATGAAAGTCTAGTTGCATATGCTAATGTGGAACGGGAGATGTTATTTTTGCTGAATCAACAACATCTCTACTGGAAACAAAGGGCAAAGGAACATTGGTATAAGGATGGGGATTTAAATAGTAAATTTTTTCACAACTCGGTGAAAACAAGGAAACGGCGGAATAGGATTAATAAGTTGAAGGATGATGATGGGAACTGGGTACGGACTAAGGATGAGATTGGTAATGTGATGCAAGAGTACTTCGGGAAGTTGTTTGAATCTGAGCAGGGGGAGATGTCTGAAATCATTAATGCGATACAACCAAAAATTAGTGCCCAGCAGAATACCCGGTTATTGTGCCCTGTGAGCATGGATGAGGTGAGAAAGGCTGTTTTTCAAATGCATCCAGATAAGTCGCCGGGACCAGATGGGTTGGGTCCGGGTTTTTTCCAGCATTACTGGGATATTGTAGGAGAGTCAGTAACTGGTTTTTGTAGAGACTATTTCCAGAGTACTGTTTTACCGGAGAAGGCAAATGATACATATGTCGTGCTGATCCCAAAGAAATCGGTACCGAAGACGATGAAGTACCTGCGCCCGATAGCGCTTTGTAACGTAGTGTATAAGATAGCAGCCAAGGTTTGTGCTAACCGGTTGAAACCATTACTGGAGGGGATTATATCGCATGCACAGAGTGCGTTTGTGCCGGGCCGTTTGATCACTGATAACATAATGCTAGCATATGAAGCTCACCATTATCTCCGACGGAAGACACAGGGGAAGGAGGGGGTGGTAGCGTTAAAAGTAGACATGAGTAAAGCATATGATCGTGTCGAATGGGCTTTTCTTGAGGCGATAATGCTGAAAATGGGTTTTGGAAGGAAATGGATTGATATACTGATGGAGTCTGTCCGAACAGTTAGGTATCACATACTGTATGAGCAGCGGCAACTGGAGCCTATCTTGCCGGGGCGGGGGTTATGTCAGGGTGATCCATTATCACCTTATCTGTTCCTGCTGGTGGTGGAAGGGCTGAGTGTTATGATAGACAGGTATATGAGTATGGGCCGTTTGCATGGGATCCGAGTTGCCCGGGGAGCGCCACCGATATCTCATTTGCTTTTTGCGGATGATTGTTTCTTGTTTCTGCGGGCAAATGAGGATGAGACTGCGTGTATGAGATATGTGCTAGACACCTATTCAAAAGCATCCGGGCAGAAGATTAATTTTGAAAAATCTGTGGTATGCTTTTCCAGCAATGTTAAACCTGCCCAGCGGAGTATGGTCACTCAGATGCTGGGGGTGATCGAAGGGGATACAGCGGGGAAATATCTAGGATTGCCGTTAATAGTGGGACGAAGGAAAAAACAGATATTGGGGTTTCTGAAGGACAGGATTCTGGCCAAGGTGAGAACATGGAATGCAAGGTTCTTGTTGAAGGCTGGGAGGGAGGTGCTGCTTAAGAATGTCATTCAGGCAATGCCTAGCTATGCGATGATGGTTTTCCTGCTACCAAGGGGAACCTGTAAAGATATTGAGACATTGATGAATGAGTACTGGTGGACGGGAACTGTGGGGAGTGGAAAAGGCAACGGTGGAGATCTTGGCAGGGTTTAACAGCCCCGAAAGTAGTTGGGGGAATGGGTTTTCGTTCTTTGCATGAGACAAATTTGGCATTACTGGGGAAACAGGCGTGGAGGTTGGTCACAAGACAAAACTCAATAGTGGCCCGGGTTTACAAAGCACGGTATTATCCAAACAGCACTTATGATCAGGCGGTGGAAGGCAGCAACCCGTCTTTTATTTGGAGGGGTTTGCTTGAGGTCCAGCGTGTGATTCGGGATGGGTGTAGGAGGAGTATTAGAGATGGCCACGATACGGTGATTGGTAAGAATGCATGGTTACCATGTGTGGATGAGCCTTTCATCACTACACCAGTAGATGAGGAAACCTTTAACTCACCAGTGTCTTCTTTGTTTAATGCTCAAAATACAGGTTGGGATGTGCAACGGGTGCGGAGTGTCTTTAACACCCGGGATGCCAGCTTGATTATGAACATACCAATTTCTGTGCGAAGGCCAAGGGATTCATGGTACTGGTATTGGGATGTGAGGGGTGAATATTCTGTAAAGTCGTGTTACAGAAAGTTGAAGGGTGAGATGTTGGATGCCCGGCCGTGGTCTCGGATTTGGAACTTACATGTACCGCCAAAGGTCAAGCACTTTTGCTGGCAGTTGGCTTCTTCTTTTTTGCCTACTAATGATGCTTTACGGGCAAAGAATATTCACTGCGCTTTGATGTGTCATATGTGCAGGAGGGACCCCGAGAGTGCTTATCATATGTTTGTGGAATGCAGCGCATTGGCACGTGTCTGGACTCTAGTGGGTGTGCCGACAGTGGGGGATGCTCATGGTAATGTAATTGATTGGTTTTTTGTTTTATTGTCTCGTTTGCATGGTGATCTAGTGGCAAAGTTTGCTATGATCTGTTGGGGTGTGTGGCAGAGCCGTAATGAATGTGTCTGGAACAGTGTTGCTTTTAATGTGGAATTGGTGGTTCACCGGGCACTCAGTTTCTGGTCTAGTTGGATGAGTGTGAATACTCACGGCCAGGCAGAACAATCAGCGGCAGGGGATGAAGGGTGGAAACGGCCTGAGGCGGGACGCATTAAACTTAACACGGATGCTTCTGTGTTACCGGACTCCAATTCTATGGGGTTGGGGTGGGTGCTCAGAGATCATTCAGGCTTATTTTTAGCTGCAAAGAATGTGTATTTGGAAGGGATTTATACAGTGAATGAGGCAGAGACAATATGTTTAAGGGAGGCACTGAGCTGGTTGAAGGACACAGGTATGGGAAGTGTGGATGTGGAGATGGATTCACAGAATGTATTTTATTCTCTACAGGCAACTTCTTTTGATTCTACTTTTGGTTTTTTAGTAGATGATGTTAAAGAATTAGCATCTATGATAGATGATGTTAGATTCTGTTTTGTTAAACGATCTGCGAACCATGTCGCTCATACGATTGCTAGAGAGGCATGTTCTACTGCAGGTTGTGGAGAGTGGTTTGATGTCCCACCTTCTTTTCTTGTACCGCACCTATCACGTGATTTAATGCATTAATCTTTTCTTCTCAAAAAAAAAAAAAAAAAACTCATTATATTCTAATTATAAAGAAAAATTGATTTATTTTGAGAGGAAATGTTTTTTAAAATTTGTATTTAGAAGGGTTTTTTTTTTTTTTTTTAAATTTCTATCACATGTTTAGCTCGCTCTCTCTCGCCCGGCCTCTAGCTATCATTTCAATCGTTATATCCTACACCACGACGCACATAGCACTGTGCGCCGCGCACCTCCCAAAACGACGTCGTTTTGGGGTAGTGTTGGGAGGCGCGGTAAGAAGTTGCTGAGATTATGTGTATTTGTTCACAACGTTATGTGTATTGGTTCATACAGTTATGTGTATTTTTTATACAATTATGTACATTCTTTTTATACAATTATGTACATCCGAATCAGAAAATTTGTGTGTATTATGTTAAGAGTTGATGTGTATTATGTTAAAAGTTTATGTTTATTATGTATTATGTTAGATTATGTGTATTATGTTACATTCATGTATAACATTATGTGTATTCTAGTATAACATTATGTACATTCTTGAACAGCGGGTTTTTTTTTTTAAAGAAAAAACTACTGTCATTCACTGGGGCGGGAAATTTCAAAAAAAAAATAATAATTAAAACGACGTCGTTTTGCATCTGGGCGCATAGTGCAACGCGCGCCGTGGTGTAGGATATAAATTGCCATCAATGACGGGTTAAAGAAATATGAGTTAAGTCAAATTGAGCCAAACAATAAAAATTTTGATCTAACCCAATCAATAGCCCAAAAGTCCACAATTCCAATACTAAAAATACACAATTTATATGTCATTAGAGCAACCACACCAGTGCATAATGGGAGAATAATGTCAGAAATTAGTGCCATGTGGAAGAGAGAGAAGCATGAAAGAGAGGGCTCCGCCTGCAAATGTTGGGAGATTTCAAAAAAGTGGGACCCACAATTAATTTTAATCATCGGTGACAGCCATGCGTGGCAATCACCTCTGCGCCCAGAGCAATAAATAAAATATCATTGTTTTTATTTAATTTTTCTTTTTCCTTTTTTTTTCCTTTTTTCTTTCTCTTCTCATTTTCTCTATCCTAATCACTCTTACATTGTCTCCCCATTATCTCCAACCATTGTGGATGTTCTTAGGACGCTGGTTCATGGTATCTTTTTTTTTTTTTTTTTTTTTTTTTTTTTTTTTTCTTTTTTTACCATTGGAGGGGGATGCTAGTTCATGGTATAATAACTCCCCAAAAATGGGTTATTTTTTCTCTTCAATTTTTAACTAAAAATTATTATATTTATTAACTTATGTATGTATTTATTTTTATTATAATAATTTTTTATTAATCTTTATATGTATTATAAAATTTAATTTATAATTTAAAATGTTAATATAAATAATAATTGTAATCATCATTAAAAATTAATATTATATACTAAATAACTTAGTAATAGCTTTATGTTCATTTCTTAAAAATGAACAAAATAGGAAAAAATATATATAATTTTCATGTTTTCAATCAAATAAAAAAATATTTTTTAACTTTTAGTTAAACACTAAAAAATGAAAATATTTTTCTAGAAAATGAATCATTTAAAAAAATCCTATATTTACAAACTGATTCTGAATTAACAGGGCATTTGGTTGGAGGGATGGAATTATGTGGGAAAGAAATTGTAATTCCATGGGAGTTGAATTACTGAGAATAAAGTGGGAATTTAAATTCTAGTGTTTGGTTGACAGGAATAGTATTACTGGGAATTTCAATTCCAATGTTTGGTATATATGGGAACTGAAAGGGAATAAGTAGTATAAAGTCAAAAATGTCCATTATTGTTGTTAGACATTAATTTTTAAAATACCAGGGGGGGACATGAGATTTTAATTCCATGAAAATGGGGGAATTGCAATTTCCTCCAACCAAACTACGAAATTTAATGGTCTTTGGAATTAGGTGGGAATTAAGTGGGAAGGAAATTTAAAATCCCTCCAATCAAACGCCCTGTAAAAGTTGAATTTCTGTATAAATGGTATGTCATACTAAAGAAATATGAACTTGATTTTTTCTTTTTTCTTTTTCTTTTTTTCCTAAGCAAGAGCTAAATTATGCGGGCACATCTCGAGGCAAAATCAAATTAAACTCATAGTGGTAAGAAAATCAAATTTTGTATATGCAAAATAAAATAAATTTAAAAAACTCCCTTCTTTAGCCATTTCGTTCACCATTATTTACCCATGGACTTGATAATGGCAATTTATATCGTGGACTAGGGTTCACAGTGTACTATGAACTCTGGTCCAATATATAAGAATTTAATTTTATAAGTGGTAGGGAATATCCCGACCGACATAGCTTCACCACGACCGAGAAGCCTTTGTCCTTTTCTCCTTGTCTTTGCAGGTAACAGGTCGGGCTCCGCGAGAAGAACCCGGTCGTAGATCGACCGGGAGTTGCCCGAGCGACGGTGTCGACCACCGAGCGATAGCCCTTCGGCGAAAGAGCTGACGAAGGACACGTGGCGGCTCTCTACACCGACAGGCAGGGCACCCGGGAGGATGACACGTGGTAGCTACGTGGAGGGCATGCTGAACGGCTGGAATCTTGTCCCCGGCATAGCGACCCACAGTAGCTCCAGTGTAGAGGACTTTTGGACGATCGATAGGTTGTTGTTAGAGAATCCCGACCGCACTCAGTCGGTACTCAGAGCAACCGAGTAGATTGTACTTAGGGCTTTTACCTTGATCAATAAAGACTTTACTCGCTTTATTTGGTCTTGTGTTATTTATATTGCTTACGTAGAATTAGCAGTATCATTTTGGCGCCGTCTGTGGGGACCCGTTCAAGAAACCAACGTCTTGACGAGCACCCGATCACCATATCGACATGTATCCGTGGGCACACAACAACTTTGCCGACGACCAGGCGGATGCGGCAAGCTCCTCCGACCACTATGCTACCCAACAGCAGGGTCAGACGATGGACCTCAACCTCAACCTCTCACCACCGCATCCATCAAATGCATACCCGGCCGCCCAGCAGCCGGTGAATTACATACAACCGGGGTACCCAACACCCGGTCTGCCATACCAGCAGCAGCCCATGATGTATCCCGCTCAGTATCCGTACCCAGTCCCACCTCCACCATATGGGTATTGGCCAGGCCAACCAATGTGATACACTTCCCCGGTTGGCTATCCACCATATACGCCTGCTTATACAGCTCCAGCCGCCGCCCCTCCAGTACAACCGACCGCCCAAGTGGAGCCGCAGCGTCAGTCCACATCCCGGGCTCGACGCTCGGCTCATTCGCGGTTGGGGTCGGGGGGTGCTGATGCGATGGAGGCACCAGCTCAGGCCGTTCAAGCGGAGGACCCTGAAGAAGTTGCCCGAGCGGTAGCTTTTGATCGTCTTCGACCGGAGATGCGCCAGCGTTTGGGACCCCAAGACCCGAACCGCGGGCAAGAAGACGTACAAATGCAGGAAGCTAGCCACGAGGCTTCATCTGGGTATAGCGGGTCGAGATCTCACCGGCGGCGACGCGCTCGGGATACAGCCCAAGCCGCCGAGCTCAACGAAACCCGGGGACTACTCTATAACCTCCAGGCGGAAGTTGCGCAGCTCAGGAATGCGTACCCTGGAACTCCCCCGGTCAGCCAATCAACCTTGCACCAGACGCCTTTCACAGCAGCGGTAATGGCCCAGCCTTACCCGCTCGACTTAAAGGTCTCTGGAGAGAAGAGTTATGACGGACGGGCAGATCCTGAGGCCCACGTGAATGATTTTTTCAGCAACATGATGCTGAAGGGCGTTTCGGACGCCGTGATGTGCAGAGCCTTTTACTCGACCCTCACCGGCCGGGCAGCAGAGTGGTTCCGTACCCTCCCACCGGGGTCAATCGACAAATTTGAGACCCTGGCGATCAAATTCGTGAGGAAGTTCATCACTTCCAAAGTGGTGAGGAAGTCCTACATGTATCTCGAGAAGGCCAAGCAATTAGAAGGGGAAAGCTTGACCGATTTCCTCATCAAGTGGAAAGCGGCGGTCGGGGAGGTCGAGCCTATGGACGATGCGACCGCCACCCACATGCTCCACATATCTCTCCGGGCGGGACATTTGTATCAGGACTTCATCCTACACCCCCCGACCACTTACGAGGAGGCCCTTCGGAGGGTCACAGACTATGCTAACGCCGGCGAGGCGAACGCCGTCAAGCGCTTGCAGGAGGTCGGCTCCTCGTCCCGTAAACCGGCCAGCCGGGCGGAACATAGGTCGGGAGATGACAACCCCCGATCCCGCACCAGGCCTGGAGAATTTACGGCTTTGAACCGATCCGCAGCGGAGGCCATGCAATACGCCCAGTCCTGCAACCTCATCAAACTCCCCCATCCCGATCGAGACGGCCCTGACAAGAGTAAGCACTGTGCTTACCATCGATGTGCTGGGCATGACACGGAGGAATGTACCCACTTGCGCCAATTGTTGGAAGATCTGCTGAACAGGGGAAAATTGGACAAGTGTGTGGGGAAGAGAGAGGAAAACAAAAGGAGCACCGATCGGAGGGATCATAGACGTTCTCACCCCCGCTCCGATCGATCTGGCCAAGACAGAAGGGATGATCGTCATGATGACCGACGGGACCCCGACCCTCCGTCCGGTAGCCGCCGGTCCGGAAAGCCTACCATTCACGTCATTTTTGGTGGGCTGGAAGATGCTTCCCGACCGCGGACTAATTGCCCGGTCGCAATAGTGGATTCCCGGGGAACCGGGAAGAGGCAGAAGATGGAACCCATAACCTTCACCCTTGAGGACCAACCTACCAGCAGTGATCACGGTATGGAGGCGCTCGTGGTCACGATTGACGTTAAGGGGACAGACGTCCAGAGGGTTATGGTTGATACGGGCAGCAGCGTGAACGTCCTATACTTGGACGTGTTTGAGAAGCTTGGCCTTGACAGGAAGGAGCTGACTCCGGTCGGTGTACCACTGTCAGGGTTTACCGGGGCTCTT